AGACTGACATAGGATCAACAGATAGATCAGTGGAACAAAGCAGAGAACCCAGAAACAGATCCACACTTATAAAGTGCAAAGGCAAAGTGCAAATTAGATTTGTAGTGAATTCCCCTTTCAGGAAAGATGATTAATTAAAAATCTATGGGGACTTCCCTGGTGGCGCAGTAGTTAAGAATCACCTGCCAATGCAGGGGACACGGGTTCAATCCCTGGTCCAGGAGGATCCCACATGCCACGGAGCAACTAAGCCCATGTGCCACAACTACTGAAGCCCATGTGCCTAGAGCCCGTGCTCCGCAACAAGAGAAGACACCACAACGAGAAGCCTGCGCACCTCAACTAAGAGTAGCCCCCGCTCGCTACAACTAGAGAAAGCCCACGCGCAGCAACAAAGACCCAATACAGCCAAAAACAAATAAATAAATTTTAAAAAAAGAAAAAGAAAAGGGCTGTCCATGATTGACTGACTCTATATAACATAAAAGCACCATTGAAACGAGAAAAGTTCAGGTAATCAATTGTTTTCTTAGTACTATATTTTATAACGACATATATTCTAATGACATTTTAAAAAACTTAATCACCTGATGTTTTGGACCTCTTGGATAAACATTGCTTTTATGTACTCACATTTCTTAACTTTTTAGTTCTGCAACAATTCAGCCAATACAGAACTATTACCCCCCACCCAATCCTCATCTAGCCCATGAAGTTACACAACACCAAAGACTATGACGCATTAAGTAACCGGTTTTGTACCTAGAAGAGCAAAATCTGATTTTAAAAACACTTCAGCGTACTTCTCCAGTGCTTAAATTCTGTCGCTTAATCAAGATTGATTGTTTGCATTTGAAATCTTAGTATCATTTTAGAAAATACCTAACTTCAAAAAAGTTTGACATTTAATTTTAAGGCAAAAAAGTAAAAGCTACTCACTTCCTGACTTCCAAATTGTCCGTATGGAACCTCACCCACCCTTTCCATATTCTTTTTTTAGGGACTAAAATTTAAACAGGTCAGTTCTGGTTCAAACAACAATTTCATATGATTTCAAATAGGTATCTTGGGAGCCAGATTGAATCATTTGCTAAACTCTAATATTTTAAATTTATAAACTTTAGAAGGAAGATAGCTTTTGAAGCTGACAAAAAAACAATCAGAGAACAGCAGTCTTCTTGTGTGCTGCCCAGAAAGTCAGTTACAAAGTGGTCCTATTGTGTTTCTCATAATTTACATTTACTTTTTTGGCAGAGCAGAAAGGAAAAAAATAAGAAGTCCAACTTGGAAGCATACAACAAAAATGAAAGAAGGCATTTTTATTTTAAAATGTCCCCTTGACATTTAGACATCTACAAACCCAATATTTAACATTTACAGGAGATAAAACAGTAAAAGAAATAGCAGCTGTTTTTCTGTGATGTCACTGAACAGGTGTGATACCATTTCATACACCAGAAATTGGATGGATCTCTTGCTGATGCTCACAGGAGGCCCATATGAGACCAATATTGACCTGTGTCTCATTCCTCCAATTGGCCAGAAAACAACCCAGGCCAACAAGAATCCTGATGACTGATCTGTGCTGATTCAGGGCAGACATTTTCCCAAACAGATCAATACTATCCAAGGTGCAGCTGAAAAACAGGATGAGCTTGTATCACTAAACAAACACCAAACTGCTTATTCACAAAGGCAAAAGCAACACAGCACTTATGTTTTCCACATTGTGTTTGCCTGTGACCTCAACCCTGACCCCTCAGAGCCACCCTCTCTGCAGAGAAAAGTAATCCTGTATTGGGTCTGCCTCTGGTACTCCTCTGGTACTCTGGGTCACTCCTGTGAGTGGTGGCATTTTTACAGTGAGCGCTACTGTGTCTGCTTTAGCCTAGCCTAGACAATCACATGATGCCAAAGCAACTAGTCAATGCAGTCAATTTAGTCAAATGACTGGTCTGAGCACTTGGCATTATGTAGACAGATAATAAAATAGCAACAGAATTTTTACTTTTTACCCATCATACTGGAATTGTGTGGTCATACCTTGGATTAAGTTAATTCAGAAGTTCTGGGACATGAGTTGTTTCTATATACACAAACTAAAATAACTATCTGAATAAACCAAAAACTCAAAAGTCCAGATAACATATTCTTTTGATTAAACCCTCAAAATTGCCTTTATTCTAATTTTCATTTAGCCACATGGACCGCCCTCCCCCCATCCCCCGCAAAGTCATGTCGGGTATGCTCCTCTTATATCAATATATTCTAAGTGCACATGCAAATGAATCTTAAATCATAATGAGAACATGCAGGTTACATCACTATTTTCACTGCTATATGGTTATAAAATATGAGGATTTTATGGTCTTTAAAACAATCTTCCCAAAAGTATTGAGAAAATAAACTATGCATTAATATATGACCCCACGTTCCTCTAGGCAAGATGACTTCATATACAACCAGGCATGAGCAAAATTTAAATGTTTTTTATGGTCCTAAAATGAGAAATTTCAGCTTCCAGAGGCTACAGAAGACTCAGGACCAATAAATGTATTTAAACTGGGGACAATATAAAATCATATAATCACATTTGGGTCTTAAAATATTTAATGGCTATTGGTAACACTGCCACGAAATCCAACCACCTACCATCTAAGATAATTTGTGTATTTAGAATATTGAATTTATTTTCCAACCCTAGATACACGTTTGATAAACTTTGATAAAACAGAAGCTGTGTCTCTTGCTGCTATTAAAAGACAAATCTATACCGCCCCCCCCAAAAGAAATGGTCGAGTAACAATAATTGTTAGCTTTCCCCTTTCCTTCAACTAAGTTTTCCCTGGGAAAGAGGATTTGAAAGGGAGAAAACAAACTTTCCCTCAGCACATTACTATATAAGCACTATATCCATCTGCCTGAATAAAGAAGAAATAAATTCAACTTTGGAACTCTGCCATGGAGTGTCGGCTCCTGCAAAGGGGACAGTTTGCTATTAATTGTTAATGTCGTCGGCCATTAGAGGGCACTAAACAACTCTACATTAATTCTGCATTGGAGGGAAGAGTGGAAAAGCAAGAGGGGAGGGAGAAGCGGGGAGAGTACGAGCAGAGTCGGGGAAGAGGGAGGCAAAGAGAAAAGAGGAGAAGGGTTGGGCGGACGGGAGGGAGAGAGAGAAGAGGGAAGACACAGAGAGAGAGAGGAAGAATAAATCCGAAAGATTAAGAAGGATGTGGAGCCCCCAGAGCCGTCTGAAGTGAGCAAAAAGCCAGCGCCACCCCGCCCCGACCGCCCGCGCCCCTCCCCTCCCGTCCTCAGGACGGTAATTATAAAGCGAAAAGCAGCGGCGAGGTCACCCGTTTTTACCAGCCTGCTGCACCGAATGCGCGCGGTGCAGGTGCGGCGGCCGCGGGGCTTTGTGATTCATGCCCACTTTCAAAGGGGGGCTTGGGCCCGTCTGAGAGGCACCCAAACAACTGTCTTCTAATATTAGCACGGCTGTATTTCGGGATCTATTATAGTCTGTCCAGACAGATCCCATTGTAATGGGATCTTTTATTAAAAGATTAGCACTATCTCCTGCAGTTGGTGGAAAAAAATCTGTTATCACTGAGTTATTTGCAGTTGTGGAGGGGGTGGGAGGGGGTGGTGGAAGATGGGGGGTGGGAGGACGAGAGGAGGCGTGGGGGGCGGCGATCTGCCGAGGGGAGGTTGGGGGCGTGAAGAGGGGCGGATTTGAAATCCGTAGGAGAACAAATCCCAGTGACCTGCGAATGTCCAAGAATTTTGTCTGCATACTTCGCTGTCTGCTGTCCTTCGGGCTCCAGAAGCGAAAAGAATAGAAATTTAAAAGGCAGCTTTGGAATAAACAATATAGCATTTTCCGTGAAGTAATCGTTTTATATAAAAGGAAATATCGCCTCCTCAGTTTCATTCAGCGGTGCCAAAAATGTTATAAATGAGAGACCCGCCAACTTGCAGCGAAGAATGCCAGGCACTGTGCTTAATAAACTGAGGCTACAGAAGTTCATTATCGATGTTGCAATCTTTTTTAGCGAAGAGAGAGAGAGAGAGAGAGAGAGAGAGAGAGAGAGAGAGAGAGAGAGAGAGAGAGAGAGAGAAAGGGTGGGGGGGCATGCTGAGAAGAAGACTGGGAGAGACGGAGACACACAGGACGGAAACTGGGGAGCCTCCGAGCCGGGGAAGGGGGGTAGACCGCCTGCGTCGGCGCCCCCGCTCCGGGTTCCGACTCCAGAAGCGGCGAAGTGAAAGGGGAGAAAAGAAAACGAGAGGGTCGAGACTGTGACGGGGTGGGAGAGGCCGGGGCTGAGGTAGTCAACATTTTTGTTCGCTTCTGACTCGTCGAGACCCAGGGCCGCGTTTCGGCCCGGCTCAGCCGGGGTGGAAGGTGCTGGGGCCGGGGTTCCCAGCCTCACCTCTGGGCTCCGGGTGGCCGCAGCGCTCGGCACGCGCAGACCCAGACACAAAACGTCTCGGGGTCCCGCGCCCAGACTGCGGGGGCCTAAAACGGCAGCGACCCGACCTCAAGCGGGATATCTCAGCAGCTCGGGGCTCTTCGTGCGTTTTGCAAAGTCTTCCTGGAGCGAAGGAGCGCCGGTGCGGAGACCAACTCCCGCCCAGCCGCCGCCTCCAG